CACCTATTGGTCATCTCTATGTCTTCTTTGGAGAAGTGTCTATTCAGGTCCTATGTCCATTTTTAAATTGAATTCTTTGTGTTTTTTGGAGTTGAGTTGTATAAGTTTTTTATACATATTGGATATTAACCCCTTACCAAGTGTGTCCTTGGTGAAAATGTTCTCCCATTCAGTGGGTTATTTTTTCATTTTGTAGACGGTTTCCTTTGCGGTGCAAAAACTTTTTCGTTTGATGTAGTCCCATCTGTTTATTTTTCCTTCTGTTTCCCTTGCCTGGGGTGATATATCAGAAAAAAATATTGCTGCAAGAATTGTCCAAGATTTTACTGCCTATGTTTTCTTCTAGGGGTTTTGTTTTTCTTCTAGGATTTTTGTGGTTTTGAGTCTTACATTTAAGTTTTAATCCATGTTGAGTTATTCTGGTATGTGGTGTAAGAAGGTCGTCTAGTTGCATTTTTTTCCACCTATTTGTCCAGTTTTCTGAACACCGTTTATTGAATAGACTATCTTTACTCCATTTATATTTTTACCTCCTTTGTCAAATATTAATTGACCATACAGGTGTGGGTTTATTTCTGGGCTCTCTTGTTTGTTCCAATGATTTATATGTTTAGTTTTATGCCAGTGCCATGTTGTTTTGGTTACTGTGGACATGTATAGTACAACTTGATATTAGGTAGGGTGAGTTCTCCAACTTTGTTCTTCTTTCTCAGGATTGCTGTGGCTATTGGGCGTCTTTTGTTGTTCCATATCAACTTTTGGAATATTTGTTCTAGTTCTATGAAATACGTCATTGGTATCTCTTTTTATTTTTTCCCCAGAGAGGAAGAGAGAGGGGGAGAGACAGAAACACCAATGATGAGAAGGAACTATCTATCAGCTGCCTCCTGCATGCCCCCTACTGGGGATCAAGCCTGCAACCTGGGCATGTGCCCTTGATCAGAATCGAACCTGGGACCCTTCAGGTCATAGACCATCACTCTATCCGCTGAGCCAAATTGGCCAGGGCACACCATTAGTATCTTGATAGGAATTGCATTGAATCTATAGATTGCTTTGGATAGTAGGGACATTTTAATGATGTTAATTCTTCCTATCCATGAGCATTGTATATGCTTCCACTTATTTGTATTTTCTTCAACTTTTTCTTCAGTGTCTTATAATTTTCAGCGTACAGGTCTTTTACATCCTTGGTTAAATTTATTCCTGGATTGCTCTCTTTTTTTGTCAATTGTAAATGCAATTATTTTCTTAGTTTCTCTTTCTCATTATTGGTGTATAAAAATGCAACTGATCCCTGGCCAGTATTGCTAAGAGGTTAGAGAATTGACCTGCGCATTGAAGGGTTTCAGGTTCGATTCCTGGTCAAGGGCACATTCCTGGGTTGAATGTTCATCCCTGACCCCAGTCAGGGACGAGTATGAGAGGCAACCAATCAATGTGTCTCTCTCACATTTCTCTCTCTCTCTCTCTTTCTTTCTTTCTCTCTCTCCCCTCCTCTGCCTCCCTTCCACTTTCTAAAAATCAATGGGAAAGATATCCTCAGGTTAGGATTAACAAAATTTAAAAAGCAACTGATTTCTGGATATTTATTTTTTTACCCTGTTACTTTACCTAATCCATTTATCAGTCCCAGTTGTCTTTTGGTGGAATCTTTATGGTTCTCTATATATACAGCATCTTTTTATCTTAGAATAGTGACAGTTTTACTTCTTCCTTTCCTATTTGGTTGCTTTTTATTTCTTCTTCTTGTCTGATTATTGTGGCTAGGACTTCCGGTGCTATGCTGAATAGGAGTGTGAAAGCAGACATCTGTATCTTGTTCCGGATCTTATGGGAAAGGCTTTTAGTTTTTGCCCCTGAGTATGATGTTAACTATGGATTTGTCATATATGGCCTTTAATATGTTGAGGTATGTCCCTTCTAGTCCCACTTTGCTGAGTTTTTATCATAAATTAGAGGCCCAGTACACAAATTTGTGCACGGGTGGGGTCCCTCGGCCTAGCCAGCGATCGGGCCCATTGTGGCATCTCCCCCAATACTGATCAGGGCGATTGGGCTGGCCAGGGGAGTTGTGGGGAGGGGCCTCGGGAGGTTGGCTGTGGGAGTGCACTGACCACCAGGGGGCAGCTCCTGAATGAATTGAGTGTCTTCCCCTTGTGGTCAGGGTGCGTCATAGTGACTGGTCGACCAGTCGTTCTGGTCGACATGGTCACTTAAGCTTTTATATATGTAGATGGGTGCTGGATGTTATCAAATGCTTTTCTGCACCTATTGATATCACGAGGTTTCTATCCTTCATTTTGTTTATGTGATGTATCACATTAATTGCTTGTGGCTATCGTACCAGCCTTGCATCCCAGGTATAAATCCCACTTGGCCATGGTGTATGACCTTTTTGATGTATTGCTGGATCTGGTTTGCTAATATTTTGTGAGGAGCTTAGCATCCATGTTCATCGGGGATATTGGCCTATAATTTTCTCTCTTTGTGGTGTCTTTATCTGGCTTGTAAATTAGGATGGTTCTGGGCTGGTACAATGAGCTTGGGAGCCTTCTGCCTCCTGGATGCTTTGGAATGGTTTGAGGGGACAGATGCTCGCTCTTGAGTGTTTGGTGAAATTACCTGTGAGGCCATCTGGTCCAGGGCTTGCTTGTTGGGAGTTCTGAGCACGGCTTCAACTTCATTAGTTGTAACCGGGTGAAAACTGTGATAAGCCCTTCGAGGTAGGGGAAGCCCCACCCTTACCCCACCCCCAGAGGCCTGCGTGGGGAACTGGAGGGCTGCCTTGGGCCTACGCCAGCTCTCGTGCTGTGACGGGAGTGAGCTGGTTGTGGGGAAGGCCGGATGCTTGGGATAACAAAGGGGGTTCATGGATGGTTAGTGGAGGCAAAGAAAAGGAGCATCAAGACCCTCACCCAGCCCTATGGTCTCGTCTCCAACAACACTCCTACTCCCCCATCTCTGCCCCCCGGCCATTCTGAACTAGGGATGTTTCCAGGATATGCCACCTCCTGAGGCCTTGGCCCATGCTGGTCCCTCCACCTGGAATACCCTCCCCAAGTTGCCCATGAAGCAAACACATTTTCTCCAAGTCTCAGCTCAGATGGTGCCTTCCCTCCCCACCCATTCCCACCCCGGGCAGACGCGGGTGCTGCTCCCGCAGGACTCACCTGCTGGTACACGGAGGTCAGCCCCCCGTGCTACGCTCATTGGGTGAGTCTGTCTCTCTCCCAAATGCAAACTCCAGGAGACCAAGGATCCAGATGTTTGTTTTTCCTTTGACCCCCCGGCCCCCTCCCCCAAGCCTAGCACAGTGCCTGGTGCCCAGCAGGCCTTCAAGGAATGTCACTTGAGTAAATGAATAAAAGATGAAAAAAGAAAAGAATAATTAGGCCCTCCGTCCAGGATAGCTGGAGTGAGGTGAGCACGAGCCAAATCGACACTCTGCCATGAGGTCCCGCTACTTTTTCTTCCCTCTTCTTTTCTCCCCGCTCCCCCTCATCCCTGCCCCCTTGCTGTATGGCTACATTCCCACACGTTGTGATCTGCGGGACGTGCTACAATTTCTTGAATTCAGCTCTTTTCTTTGAAGGCTCCCTCTGTCACGTACACACCTCAAATAGGGGGCGGTGATGTCCCTACCAAAGGCGCAGCGTCCCGGTCTCATCAGACAGAGGATTTGTCCGGGGCGTGAAGAACAGGATTAGACAGGCAGGCTTTCCATTCACACCGGGCGCTTCAGACACAGCCGTCTCACCGGTCAGGCGCCTGAGTGATCGCTCACCGGCTCCCTCATCCCCTCCCGCCTCCCGCTTAACCCCTGGTGACCTGGAGCTGTGGAAATAACCCTGGGCCGCCGGCCACCTAATCCATGGCTTTTGCGGATGTCCTCCATCTCCACCTCCCGGAGTTCTAGGGTGCCACTGACCTCCCCACCCCACCCCCGCCACCCCTTCTTCCTGAAACCCTCGAAATCCTCGGCGCTGCAGCATTTGCCGTGACCTCTGCCCACCCCACACTCGCCTCTGCGCTTCTGGCTGAGTTTGCTGAGCCAGCTTCCTGCTGGGCATGGCCACGTGGCTGCCTCCAAGGGGAAACACGGAAGCAGATGAGGCCCACCATGGCAAGCAGGATCCCTTTATACCCCTGCGAACATCGCCACCGGCGCCCATTCTCACAAGTACCTCCCTCTCCCTTGTGCCCCACACCCCTCCCTCCGCCCCCCCATAGCAAGCTTGGGACGTTCAGCTCCTGAATTCCTCTCAAGCTCCTCCAGGAGCCCCGGGAAGGCTGTTTCTGGTCACTGCGCTAACCCAGTGCTACTGGCACGGCGCCTGGCACACGACAGACCTCGATGAACACGTGCTGCCTGAGTGGGGAAGTGAGCCAACCGTCCCACTGACAAATGGCAACGCTGACGCTCAGAGAAGAGGAGTGATTGGCCCACGGTCATCGGACGGACAGCCAGGACTGGGCCCCAGGGTGGCTCCGTGCCCGCCGTGCCCGCTCCGAGCACAGGGAGGTGCCCTGGCTCCCGCCAGGGCCGCGCCTTACCTGAGAGCACCGTGAACACGGCCGCGAAGGCATTGAGCTTGAGCCCGTCGATGACGCTGCTGGAGTGGAAGAGCTCGAGACACATGAGGCTGAAGCCGACCAGCAGCAGGAGGATGTAGAGCACCTCGGAGACCACCGACAGCCACAGGACCCCTGCGGGACAGGGCAGAGGCCGTCAGAGGGCGGCAGGGCGGCCGCTGCGTGCCCACCCCACCGCTCCCTCGGCCAGGGCATTGGGCTGTTTGGAACAGACCTCAGCTGGAGGCTGTCCTGCTTAGGGTAAGACCGCCATGGCCACACATCCTCCTCGCAGACTGGCTCAGGACCCGAGCCCACGTTGGTCGGCCCGTGGCACTCTGGGTGGTGTTACTTGTGCAGGTGGCATGTGACCAATATGGGGGCCCATTCAGAGGGGAGGGGGGAGCTTCTATCCTGTGGCTGTGCCAGAGCCTCTCGTGCTCGGCCCACCTGTCGGCTGACGGCCGCGGGAGCCATCCTCAGCCAGGCGGGTGGGATGAAGCTGACGCTGTGTTACTGAGCAGAGCGACTGAAAGGTGACCTCCCTGGACCAGCAGCCACCAGCCCTGGGGCTTCCCTGTGGTTCGGCCGGTCAGTGTGACGTTCCCTTATCTGCAGCTATGAGCATCCCAACTCATGCACACATCACGCCTGCCTCAGGGGCACCTTCACTTTCATCTGCCCTGCACCCTCCTCCACTGTTTTCTCTAACCCACCACTGCTGCTCCCTCACTGTTCTCCCCGGGAGCTGCCAGGGTCTGCTGTGGGTCCCCCTTTCTGGGCACAGCTGATTGGCCCAATGCGATCACATGACCAAGAGTTGGCCAATCAAAGCCCTTCTCTAGGAACTGAGCCTGGAAACACTGACAGGAGGAAAGGCTCTGACAGCATGAGCGCCTGGTTCCCGCCGGTCCTGAAGGCAGACGCACTCCTGTCCTTCCGGTGGTTTGGCTGTTCAGAGCTACGGTGCAGTCCCCGAGGCAGCACAGCTCTCTTCCCCCAAATTGGTCCAAATTGAGTTCCCATCATCTGCCTCTTAGTTTAGGGGCATCTTCCATTTCGCCCGCCCCACATGCCCCCTGCTTCCCACATGCTTTTCAACTGGGGAGCCCCTTCCCTCCCTCTGCCTAAGCAGCTCAGCTGCAGCTGACCCACAGCTGGGCTCCTTGTTTGGGCACACGAATCATACATGGCCCCTAGTCATTGGTTCAGGAATGGTCCTCTCTATGCCCCAGTTTTTTCACCTATAACATGACCAGGCCACCAATTGGCAGATGTCAAAGAAGGTAGAGCCAAGAGATGAAGGAAAATCGTGTTCTATAACATGAGGATAATAAAGCACCGATTCATACATTGCTGTGCTGTGAGGATTCAACCACACAGCAGCGTAACGAGCTCATGCGTAGCACACAGTGAGAGCCGGCTGCGTGAGTGCTATTGCAGCTGTGTGGGCGGAGCACAGTGGGGACCAGGTTTCCTGAATGAGGTCAAGGCTACAGACAAGGTCAAGGTGGAGAAATAAAACTGGGGGAGCAGGTAAGATTCTGAGGAAAAGGGCAGAAAGTAGAAGATGGAACACATCCGCGTCCCTTGCCTTCCAAACCACACTAAGCACATGGTGTGAGCAAGACACATACTTCAGAGAAGGGACGCCGGGCCAGGCTTGCCCAGCCAGGGATGGACACGTGACTCGAGTCAGTTCAACAAAACTTCCGCCAGAACCACTGGGGAAGAAACTGCTTTCCTCCACTGGTTTTGAGTCTGGGAAGATGTCAGCTTAGAATTGACCCGGCCACCAATTGGCAGATGTCAAAGAAGGTAGAGCCAAGAGATGAAGATCGTGTTCTATAACGTTGTTTGAGCCCCTAGATCCAGCCATGCCTGAAGCTGCCCGTCATCGGTTCTTTCAATTTGAGGTAGGATTCTGTCACAACTAAGAGTCCTGATCTTCAGCTTTTCTGTTCTCTGGCACTTTCAAATGTGTGTGTGTGTGTGTGTGTTTCCTATCTCTGTGCCTTTTGCACTAGTTGTTCCTTCACCTGGAATATCCTAGGGGCAGCCAACATATGTGGAGCCGGCAAGCAGCAATTGCAGCGTCCCTGTCTGCTCCCCGAGGAAGAAGGCCGGTTCCCAAACACCGACTACCATCCCCAGCACAGCGGGGCTCTGAGAGCTTTGAAGAACTTTTTCTTTCCCCCCTCTCTTTTGTTGTTGCTATAAAAACATCACATCTCCTGGGCATCCCTGGATTTCTGTACGAGAATAATGTGCACTTGGCAGCCGGGATGTTGTTAAAACACTCCCTGGCACGCCCACTGCAGCCTCCAGGCCCATCGCTGGCCTAAGGCCCGCCAGGCAGCAGGGAGGGAGGCCGATGTAGGGCGAGCTGGGCTGTCTCCCTCCCAGCAGCCTTCACCTCCGGCGGCTGCTGTCCCGCGTAGGGGAGGCTGCCCCTCACCATGGCCGCCCTGACTCAGCCGCCTCCCCTGCGCCGCCCCCCGCCCCAGGCGGTGCTCTCACCTGCCCAGGTGGGCCCTGGGCCAGGCCTCCCCACGCA